ATAAGCAGCTCCAGCCTTCCAGCGAGTGTGCAGCTTGTGCGGACTGACTGTAGGGACGGAGCCAAGTAGACCTGTCAAATTATAACCTGACTCGTTGATCCGAAATCGCCTAAAAACTAGAGATTTTTGTAACTCAAAATCCGAATGACCCGAACTCGATAATCCGTGATTTTTTGGGTCGGTTGGGCGGGTTAGCGGGTCGACCCGTTAAGCCCATTCCATTTTATATATCACTCCCAAAATAATAAAATCACTCATAAATTGGTGAGATGTTTAAAAAAAATCACAAGGATTTGAATGACATGTTTGGAGTTGAAGGATAATCAAATATAATGTGTTTTTTGTAGTAGTATTACTCTTGTGATTGTTTTTTTGACGATTTGCGCAATTTGTATTTCATTTCATTAGCGTGAAAGGATTTGAGAATATGTTAATTGACATGTGTTAGGTAAACTATTGTTATGCATATGTGAAAATTTGTGTTCTTTAAGAAAATATGAAGCATGTTTGATATTGTTTCTGAGAACGCTCATAACCCGAAATGACCTGTAACCCGACCCGAAACCAAAAGGGTTTGGTTAATATTTGACCCGAAATCAGTCAACCAAACATGACCCGACCCGTAACCGAAGTCCCCAACCCGAAATTACCCAACCCGACACGATTGCCAGGTCTAGAGCCAAGGAAAGCACAAGCAAAGAACGACATGGAGTTTGGTATAGTTTGGAGATTCATTGAATAGGGCATGGAAGGGAACACGGCTACAAAGAGTAGAGATGGTAGGCGATTAATAAGATAGATAATAGTGGTGAAAGCATAAGACCATGCAATAGGAGAGAGGAAGCTTAGCTTGATGAAGAAGAGCAATCCCTGTTTCAACAATGCGAGGATGTTTTCGTTCAAAAAGACCATTGTGTTGCGTACACGGTGGGGGTGAGAAGATGAGTATTGCCACTATCAATCAGGGTAGATTTAAGTTTTTCAAATTCACCACCCCATCAGTGTAAAGACGACGAATACGAGTGGAGAAATAATTTTTGACGAGTTTTGAAAGTTACAAAGGTGGACAAGACATGTGACTTACGTCGAAGGGGATAAATCCATGTGTAGCGAGTGAAGTGATCAACAAGAACCAAGTAGTAGGAAAAACCATCAACGGAGGAAATAGGAGCAGGACCCCAACGTAAGAAAAGATTAAATCAAGGGGACGAGAGCTAGAAAAAGTGGAATCAGAAAAAAGAAGTTTAGGACTTGTATTGGATAGACAAGAAGTCCAACGAGAAAAAGAGGACTTGGCATATACAGAAATAGAATTGTTCTAAATAAAAGACACATAGATTTAAACGACGGATGACCTAATAGTAACCAACGTTAGCAGCACAGCCTGAGGCTCTCCTGGCAAAGTTTAACAACCGAGATAAGACATTTCTTAAGAGCAGGAACACAAAAGAATGTCCTTAAGACTGAGGGGACAGTTTGACGAAGATGGCAAACGAGAAGAGCCAATGTGGGTGATATGCAAACCTGAACCATCACCAAATAGACTTCATCAGGTCCATTGTAGTCCAAATAAAGAGCGAGATTGTCAAGGTCAGGAGTAATGTGATGAGTGGCATTTGAATCCATTAACCAGGGTTCAGAGCGAGAAGCAACAGGTTGTGAAGAGGATCCCGCGGTATGATTAGCTTGGGATGGACGCTATTGAGGAAAGAGTTGGAAACATTAGCGCGTAGAGCGCCCTGCCTTCTCGCAATATTGGCAGTAGATACGAGCACGACGAGGAGTGCCATTAGGATCAGTAGTCAGCGGAGACCAAGAATCAGAAGGAGTCGAGGAACGAGAGGAACTGCCACTGGAATTGGAGGAGAGGTCGGACCCACGGCCAGGGACAACACCTCGGCAACCCCGATAGGCGTCGTTACTGCATTGAGTAAAACACAGTGGTAGGTTGATCGCGATGTCGGGCAGCAAGATGAGCTTCCAAAGCCACAAGCCGATCGAGTAAATTCTCAAGAGATGGAGGGGTCTCACGAGCACGAATCCCATCAGAGAATTCGACATAATCATCACCAAGACTGTGAATACAATAGGTGACAAGTTCATCATTGAGGACGGGTGAACGAGCCAAAGCCATCTCGGAGGTAGTGGAGTGGAGGGAATGAACAAAGGTGTTGACAATACAATCGCCTTTCTTCTCAGCAAGCAGACAATCTCGGATCATGATACGAGATCGGGAATTGTTGGCATGCAGACGAAGCAGAGACGCCCAGGCCTCAGCAGAAGGAAGAGACGAGCTATTAATGGGCAGCACAACCTTAGAGTTAGAAGCAAAGATTTCGTTAAAGTTAAATGTTCTCAATGTGAAGTAGTGCAAGAATCGGTGACCTCTCGAGAATCACTATAATGCGTCAAAAAGCAATACCATAAGTGAATAGTTTCAAAGCGGACAATATCTTAACCAGAAAAGATATTTAGATGGTTGAATGAAAGTCATCCCCCCCCCCCCCCCCCATAAGTGTGTGGCTCTGAGAGCTGCCAGTTTTCTGGTTATCTCTTGTGCGATTTCCCCTCTTCCATTGATTGAGTATGTTGCGTCTCTAGAGAGAGTTGAGGACCGGTTTCTACATTGCTTCCTCATTTCTTTCTGGCTTGGCAAGTGTTGTGTGTAAAGAGTCGGATGATTTCTAATAGGTTTGCTACTCATTAACTTGAAATTTGCATAAATCTATTGTATTATGTTCGACATTAATTGTTAATGTTGATATTCGTAAGGACTTAAAGACGATATATACTTCATTGTCAAATCATTTCTGATATCATGTTCAATATTGAAAAAATGCTAATTATGAAACTTATATCACTTTTTTATTCAGAATCAACTATATAGTTTATTCACTTCAACCATAAAGAAAATGAATTTTACAAACAGGATCTGTGTTTATTATTCGCATCATTATTACAAAGACTCGTCAAATCAAAGTGTACCCACATTTTTATTGCATTGAAACACAAGTAAATTAAAACAGATCAACTATAGAATCCACTTGTGCCAAGTTAATTATTATTCAACTTAAGCAAGCTTAACCTTGGAGTCATAAGCAACTCCAGCCTTCCAGTGACGCGGAATAACATTATCCAGCTTAACGAATTTCACAACTCCTCCTAGCAGTCCAGCATCCTTGAGTTTCAGCTTGAGCGAAATCGGACCCTTTGGTGGATTAGGAAAATCATAAACGGCACCGTCTTCATGCTTCATGTCTTTCCATTGCTTCACACTTCCACCGTAGATTTGGATGCCCAAAACGTCGTATTGGCCACCTTGGTACACCAAAACAATGGACAAATGTTCTCCAAATACACTCTGCTCCGTTACCTTGACCATCAGGTTGTCATGACCAGGATAACGACATGGAACTCTCTTGTACTTCACGTCGAGGAGGGACTTCGGAAGCAATTTGGAAACCTTGTTTGGTAGAGCCATGCTTTGCAAGGCGTGCGAGCTGAGGATGAAGTCTCTCTCCTTGTCCCCAAAACCGCGATCTGTCACCACTATGTTCACTCCTTCACTGTTGCAGACGCCTTTTACCCCGCACTTCACCTGATAGCAGGCACCGCAAACAGTGCCGTTTTCCCAAAGCTTGCTAGAGGCGTCGGCGACATTGCCATAGTTGTAAGCCGCGCCGGTTTCGCCATAGCCGCAAGCTCCGGTTGGAGTTCCTAAGCCACTGGTCATGCGGTAGTAAGCGACTCTGCCTTTTACGTAAGACGACGAGGGAGGTGCGGTAGCATGAGTCAGTGGTGCTGGCAGAACCACCGACACGCAAACGATTGCTAGGGTTAGACCCAAAAAGCCCTTCATTATATTTGCGAAGTTACTCTAACTGTGTTAATGATGTTTAGGGATGAATGTGGAAAGCTGTAGAAAAGAAAGACACAAATCTTAAAGTGTATTTATAGAGATGTGATGAGGCACGTAGCTAGGCGGTAATGGTAATTACTGATGGCTGCTTGCTATTTGAGCTTGTGTATTGGTTTAAGCTTTAGAGGCGCACATTGGTTTTGATTAATTTGTGTCTTTAATTTGGGACTATGGGTTTTGCCGTTAGAACGTTAATCCATTGTGCTTTCTTGTATATTTGAGCTTGCACAAACTGTGTGTTCATTTGCCGAATTAATTGAACAATTTGGTCACTCGCTCTTGCTATTTGTGTCTCTAGACACATGTTTAATTTGACCATATATATGTGGGCTGCTTTTCTTGATTAGCCTACACGTAATACGTGTGGCCTTCCATTGTTATTAAATAAACCGCCATCCTGTCCAATCCGGATATCTAGCGCTTCCTAGGGCTATTAGTATTTAATAATTATTGAGGAGTAAGGACATTATTATACGATCTTATAACAGTTAAACGAGGTGGTGATAATTTTTTTTATAGGATAACGATGTGGTGATAATTTCGTAAACAATTACATTAAAAAAAATTTAGACCTTGAATTGATAAGATTTTAGTATTATAGACCTTAAACCTCAAAATGGTACATGATATTTTTTGCATATATTTTGGCAAATCATGACTATCGATTATTGTTTCTAATCAAATTGATTTTAGCGTATGTGATCTATAGAATTAAGATACAGATTTTCATCTATAAGGATAATAGTACAGTACCATGTCCCAAATTCCAATCAATTTAAGGTCTAAATAATTTATTCTTACTCAAACTATAATACACCTTTAATTTTACTCAACATACGATAGAACTCTCTATATCGGAATCTCCGGCGATCTAGGCATCCCCAAAGATAGCAAGAATTACATCAGACCATAGTAAAAATTCTGAAAGAAAATTGAATTCTATTAGCAATCATGCATGATTCGATCTCCAAACCTCCAACTCGTCCGTCGTCAAGATCTTTGCTCTTGTATCATTTGGCCCCTCCGTACTCATTCTTTTCCACTTTAAAACAAGTTCACGCCCCTACGCATTAATGCATGCTCAACGTGAAGAAACTTCCACACTCCGGAACACTGAGTCGGCGCAAACCAGCTGGGGGAGACAGACGAGCGGTTTGGCCAAGGTCATGTTGAACCCTAACGTCGTTTCCATATTCACACTCTCCTCCCCGTTCTCAAGCTTCCAGTCAAAGAAATGAACCATGGCCGCCACCGCACAGTGTATCACACTGAGCGCCATGGCGGAACCAACACACATCCTCCTTCCCCCGCCAAACGGGATAAAGCCGCCATGATGAGATCTTCTGCCGCTATCGTCAGAAGATTTCAGGAATCTTTCGGGAGAGTAGTCGTCAGGATTGACCCAAACCGCTGGGTCTCTCATTATGGAGTAGACATTGATGGCCACCGCCGTGCCTTTCGGTATGTCGAACCCTCCGACGTTGCATGTCTCCCGGCAAGCCCTTGGTACCACCACCACCGGCGGATGTAGCCTCATCGCCTCCTTCACGACGGCTTGCAAATAGGGAAGGTTGGGAACGTCCGTTTCTTCCACCAGCCTGCCGTTGTTGTTGCTTCCGATTAGGTCGTGGATTTCTTTTCTGACCCTCTTGAATACTTCTGGATGGTTGATGAGCTCTGCCATCACCCACACCGTTGCATCTGTTGTAGTGCCTGTGCCAGCAAGGAATAGATCCTGAGAGAAGCAAATGAATTGGATTAGCCTTGAAGTTTGATTAAACGAATCTGTTGCTATGACCCGAAGACAGATTATATGCCAGGGGTTTTAATTAAGGTTATGTCGTCTGAAGAATGTGCTATATATATTTTTTCAATCTCTGTATTAATCTATAACTTTTCAAGGATAGTGAAACTGATATCTCCTTCTCATAGCTAATACATGCACATCGTATTAGTGAATCGCGTAAATCTGTGTGTGTTTTTTACTTTCTTGTGAGCGGTTACTACGCATTATGCAATGCATGCTACGTCGTTTATTTTGTTGGATGAGGGCATGCGAATATGCAGTTGATTAATTACCAGGAAGAATGCCTTGATGTTTTTTCTGGTGACGTTGACCTCAGCATTTGGATCCTTCGACACTCGTAGGAGAATATCCATCAAATCATCACAATTGGTTTCATCATCAGCGCCACCACCACTTCTTTCTTCGTGTTTCTTCAAGATTCCTTCCAGCAACTCGTCAAACCTGGCCGGCACTTCCGTGGCCTGCTTGCGGAGCATGAAACGTCCCAGTTTCTTGAAAGGGCCAAGCATACTCGTGAGGAGCATTTTGAGTGTCAGGTCGCGTGTAGCGTTCACCAACGTCCTGTACCTCTTTGCTTCGTTGTCTTCCTCCGAACATTTCATGCTCATGGCCATCCTGCACCAACAGATCGAACATGCATGTTTATACTAAGATCAATGATAACTGAGTCGGCTGACCGTTAATCAATTCATTAGTTTGTGACTTTGTGGTTAACTATTGACAAAGTCTTTTAAATATTAGCTTATTCGCCAAGTCTATACGATTGACTAGTAAGTAACTTACGGGTCCATCAACGTCTATTGGCCAAGCTTATTCTTTCTGATAATTTTTATTAGATACTATATTGTAATTTTATCAATATTTTTTTTAACTTATTTTAAAAAAACGTTTAGGTATTTAATCGTAACAAATTTAAGATTTCATACCAAACTACAATTTTGAAATTAGTATAGGCAAAAAAAAAATCGAATCCATGGGTGAAGACACAAATCAATACATTCCAAATGACCATAGGGTATGAACCAATCAAACTTTACATATTTATATTATATTTGATTTTGTATTCAAATCCAAATTAGGACAAAAAATTATTTAGCAGTTAATTGGATAAAATAGCGGTTAACCGTTAACGGATTTGTCAATTAGCAGTTAACCACTAATAAAAAAAAATCTTCTATCGGTAGCCAACCCTCCACATCAATTAAGCATATGATATAAGAAGATTCGCTCAATTTTGTTGAATTCCATAGTAATATTTGGTATTTTTAAGAGAAAGGGTACCTAGTGCAGGCCAGAGGAAGCTGGGGTTTCCCCCTTGTTGTACCATTTAGCGACGGGTAATATATTCAATTTAACGACGGTTCCAATAACTATAATGACGATCAAGATCGTCGCAAAATTTTCCCAATGCTCATTTTGACGGTCGATCAAAACAATCGCTAAATAATTTATGGACAGCAGGGTCAACAAAGGACAACTGCTCGGGGTCAAAGTTTTTAACGACGGTCGTTCCGTCGCTAAATAACAATAAACCTGACGCTAACTCAACTCCTTTCTTGTAGTGATCCTAGTATTTATTGATTTAACCGTTGAGAGAGTATTAACGGTTAAGTTAATGGTTAATCTGATAACCACCTAACCAGTTATCATTCATATGACAAGTACATCTGAATTTGAATAATATAATTTATAATTTGTCTCTACTCTCTAGTGGATTATTTTTTTAAATGAATGTTATAACAGTTGACCTTATACCATTCGCAGGATCTCGAGTTTTTTCGATGAGTTGACTTTTGACTTTAATTAGAGTTAACAGTTGATAAGCCAATTAAGCAAAGAGAGTTAATTACACAGACCTGCAAATGATGTTATTGCCGAGCGTCAGTAGCTCATCCCTCAAATCCACGGCGGCCGTCGCCTGGCTCTTCATCGCCAGCCGCCTCAAAAACCGCGCCAGCTCTTCCCGCCTCACGCTCCTCGACCGCTCCAGCTGGCGCGTGGAGAACAGCTCCGTGACGCACATCTTCTTCATGAACCTCCAGTACTCGCCGTAGGGCGCCGTCACGAACCCCGAGTCCCCGAACAGCAGTCGGTCCGCGAGCGGCGACTCGGGCTTGCCCGCGAAGCTGACGTCATGCTCGCGGAAGATCTCGTCGGCGAGAGGCGGCGACGAGACGAGGACGACGGGGTAGGAGCCCAGGCGGAGGTAGAGGAGTGGGCCGTACTTTCTCTGGAGCGCGTGGAAGGTTTTGAACATGGGCTGGATTGATGCGAGGTGGTGGATGTGGCCGATGAGCGGCAGCGACGGAGGGCTCGGCGGCAGGCGGAGGTCGGGGGTTGTTTTCCGCACATGTTTTCTTTTGGCAGCTATAAACAGCCGTAGAAATATCAGGGATACGACGGTGGTGGCAATTATGATGATGATATGCTGAGCTGATTCCGCCATTGTTTCTCACAGCAACGGGGAAGATGATCAGTTTTGTTTATGATGGTCTCATTCATATATATATATATATAAGATTTATTCTTTACTGTAATATTTGTTCTTTACTGTATCAAGGCCTTCAAAGCAAGAAAAAATATTCGTAAAATCTTTTGTATATTGTTTCCTTTTGTCAAATTAAAAACCAATGATGTAACTTTTCTATTAAAAAAAGCTCTCAATATCATGCATTTGTTTTTCATTTTCTTCCAACTCAGGGTTGGTCAACTCCCTCCACCTCTGGTTGATGGGATTATAAAGTTTGCTGATTCCTGTGTTTTGGCTCAAGGAAGGATTCCCTTGTTGTTTCTGTTCTTGTTGTGTTTCCTTTTGTCGTTTTTTGGCTTTTTTCTTAACGGTTTTCTCTGGATGTTTGATGTTTTCTACTTGTTGGTTTGGATTTCCTTTCTTGTTTGGGGTTTTTTTCTTGATGCTGGATTTCAGGGGTTTTCCTCTTCTTTGTAACCGTGTTCTTTCCAAGTGAAATACAAGCAACATCTTTGTCAAAAAAAAAAGGCCTTGATAGTATCAGTAAGTGCCGTCCAATGAAATGCGCCGGCACTGTCTTGATATTAAAATGTGGCCCCACTTTATAAGCAAAATAAAACAAAAAAATGTTGCTAACTTAATTATTTAAATAATAATTTGAAATAGATTTATCTATGAGCTTTTAAACTGTGAGAAATTATTTTCGATCATCATCGTTGATCTATTAAGAATCTCTTGAGTCATTTTATAACCACTTTTCATAATTTCTTAATAGTGTAATTACTTGATTTTTTTTTTTTTTGCAAAAAATTTTTTGGATTAATTGTATACTACAATGTAGTAAACCTAAGAGTAAATCGGTTTGTCCAACTGCTTCAACTCATACCTGATATCTCAATTAGACGACACAAGTCCGGTAGAAAGTTTGTCAAGAACTCATCAAACTCAGAGAAACGATCAGTTTGACCAACTGCCAATGGATATTTCAAAACCAGTTTCGAATATAAAATGATGAGGATTAGGGTTGGGGTTGGGAAACAATGTCGTCTGGTCCAGACCGGACTATATATACGGTTTACGATTCCAATCGAGATGTTGGACATAGACTAGAGACAAGGATAAATACTATACAATCCACACCAGATCACGCTTGTGCGATATGGTCTGGTAAGGTACGAACCACACATACCATATTGAACAAAATATGAACAATTTGTTTGATCCAACTAACAAAAATCAAACCAATAATCGAGAAGAATGTTTTGTCTTCAAATCTTAATTCTAACATGCATGCATAGTTTTGATATCTTAAATCCACGTGAATGACAAAGAGACAAAGTCATAATCTCATAAAACATTAAGATGATTTCATGCGGAGATGTGACCATCTCTATCCTCTGCCAAAGTGTGATTTATTATGAATGGAGAAAAGGATGAGATTTTCAAAATTAAGAATTGCGATTTGGGTCACGTTGGGGGGAGTGGAGAGACAGGTCAAGTCACAAGTATACTACTAACACGAATTAGAAAGTGGGTTGGGTCTACGCTCTGATTTCTATAAACTCAAATCTGGACCAGATCATATCAAAATATCAAAATTCACATTCGCTAATAGATCAACATATCAAAACTCGCATTGTCAATTGTCATACCTCTTTAGTAGAACTTTATAATATTATCTCACCACTGTCGTATCATGATATTATCATATTGAGAATATCAAGAAACTATAGTAGTAAAATAATGTGAAGTTTTTTTGCTTTGAAAAATATAAAAATGAACATCATCATGTAGAGCATAAAAGATATTCTAAGAAATTTTTAAAAATTTGAATGTAAACGAATGAGATATTTTCTATTGAAAATTTGTGAAAATTTTGAAAAGTGAACAAGTAACTTCTAAATTTCACTTAACTATCTCCAAAACTCCTAAATTTTCCATTTGTCCTCTTATGATGTGGACCATCATATATCTCTCATTTTCCCGCTTTACATATAGAAGTGGTCTTGTATTGTAACAATATTTATTATTATGTTTGGATACTAACCATCACTGAAATTGAGATTTTGGAATATTAGTAAAAAAACACTTCCAAATGGAGAAAGGAAAGTATACTTTTCCCATCACTTCCAAATGTCCAATCCCAACGAAATATTCCAAGCAACCGTATGACTTGTCTCCGTTGAAGTGAGGATTCCTCCGACGAAATATTCCAAGCAACAATAAATTCTCTTCTTTTGGCCTGGAACTGGAATACCGTATATATCAGTAATAAAATGGCTTGGATTGGAAGAGCCGGCGACGGTTTCGGCCGGAACTGACAATATAATTAATATGTTAGGTGGCGATGCCGCGACTTGTCGTGGAGCGGAAATGGTCTACGGGTATGTATTATGTGATTCGTTATGATGTTTTGTTAGTATTATTAGTCTAAAATTAATTTTTTCTTAGCACATTAGTTAGTAATATTGACTGAAAAGAGATATATGGCGGTCAACATGCAATTTAAAAATTCTTGAAAATTTTGGCTAATAAATTATATTTACCTAAACCCAAGTAGACACATTGATTATGAGTAGGGTATGGGTGACGTATATATGAGTTTGGAAGTTTGTAGATGAGTTTGAGTAGTGATTAGAATACATAAAAATAGTATACTAATTAGGGTTGGACAAAGAAGGCAAAGAAAGAAATAAAGAAAGGGTTATGGAAGACCAGTGAAAGATGAAACAAAGAGGAAGTAAATGATGCAAAAATTTTGACCAATTATTTTAGTTGGCCGTCAATACAACAATCAACATTTTTCATCGTAGCAATTTATTGACACTCGCTTATGTAGATGTCGCATATTTTGTTACATTTAGTTAGTAGACGTTTGTTTAGTACCCCCAAAATGGGGGAAAATCCCAAGTTACACATGTTTTTAAAAAAAATTCTCAAAATACACACGTTATGAAAATAATTCCCAATCTACGCATGTTTGGGCCATCACCGCTGTTGATGAAGACAGTGATTGCATCACCGCTGTCGACGAAGACAGTGATTGCATCACTGTTGTCGACAAAGACAGTGATTGCATCACTGCAGTACACGGCCGCGGTGAAGGCCTAACCTGCGTCGAAACTTTAAACAAACGTAACTTTGTGCTCGGTTATCCGATCGTAGCGAAATTTATTTTGATTCCGCATAATTTTTCAAGATCTTGCAAGCCTCAAATTGCCGTAGGCGGTTTGGTCCCGCCTTCGTCTCGAAAATATGTCGTTTGCTACCCCGAACGAGCCTTTTTTCGATTTCGTCAAACTTTGAACGACCATAACTTTGTACTCCACAATCCGAAAATCATGAATTTTTTTTTTGATTTCGCATAACTTTTTATAGTAAAATTAAATTTGGGGTATTAAAATGTAAAAAATATATTATAATGACTACGTTGTAATTTAATTAAATTTGAGTATCAAAATGTAATAATTTAGTCAACATTAACCTTACTTCAATTTTATATATATTAATATGGTCTCCGTTATAGTACTCTTCTCCTAATATATACCACCTGCAAACGATATATTCAAAAGCTCCAACCAAAAATTGGAAGAACGCTTCTTCGTCTGGCCGGCAACTGGTGTGAGCACTACAACAAAATCTGCATATAGAGGCTATGAAAATTTGCCTCTATAGATCATTTTTTGCCTCTATATACATTTAGAGGCAAATAATACATTTGCCTCAAATACTCCAGTTGCTATAGCTTTATAGAGGCATATATAGAGGCAGATACTATTTGTTGCTAATTAAACAATCTGCAACAAATATTTTAGCAGCTAATGCACTCTTTTGTTTGCCTTCATATCTAATATCAGATTCACACATATCTGCCTCTAACATCATCTATAGAAACTAAAACATCTGCCTGTATTGTTATATTTAAGAGATAAATAAATAATATTTCCAATATTAGCTACTGGAATTTTAAATATAAAAGATTGAATTTACGTTTTTCTCTCATGAAAAATATTTTGTTCCTTCTATATATATACCAATTATAAATCGTCTCCGCCTCTAAACGCAAGCTCCACACGAACAACACTTCTAATCCGTCGTCAAGCATCCCTACTCAAAAGAACAGATCGAGCTGTCGGGATCTACCCAAACACTGTCGATAAATGACACCATATCTTTTCACTGGTCACCGGCAGAAAGAAAAATTGGGCTCCTCAACTGACGCTTCTGGTCATCGTCGCCTGGTGTCACCAACGAGGCTCAAGAGTCGAGAGAGGCTGCTCGAGGTCGATGGAGGCATTTCGTAGCAAGGAAGCGACGAGGGCGTCGCGAGCATAGGTGGGGGAGGATGTCACATGTGGCCGATGACATGGCGCCAACAAGGTGACAACAAGGCGGCTGCACATGTGGCATGTATGGAAGACTAGTAGCATAGAGATGCTCCTAGGATTCTCCACCTAAATGAGAGCTTAATGGTGCACTTATGGGCTACATTATGGGTAGCATTATTAGGGTGCATTATGGGGGGACTTTATGGGGTGTATTGATGTAGAGGGACCATTATGAGGGGCATTGATGCCTTGTATGAGGAGAGGCCTATATAAGGAGCCATCTCCCTCACTTGTAACTCATCCATCATTTTTGTGAGCAATACAACTATAGAGTTTCTCCCATCTTCTTGTGTCTTGTTCTTGTGAGTTGAGTGAGTTTGAGAGCTTGTGAGAAGGCTGCCTAGCATCTCTAACGGAATTGAGAGCTAGGGCCGCACGACCAAGAGTAAGGTCGTGACAGTTGGTATCAGAGCCTGGTTCTGAAAGAAGAACCGGTGTCCTCACTCCCCAAGAAGGAAGATAAGAAAGAGCGAGAACCTCACCAAAGATGGCTGGATCAGAAGTCCATGACGATGCGGAGAAGCCACGGGGAAGAGATCCCACTCCAAGCGGAAGGTCAAAAGGTACGTCGAGCACTCGTGATCCTCT